GGGGACGCGGCTTCCGACGGCCGCTCGGGGGTCCCGGCGGCCCCTCAGATGCGCGCGCGTAGGGTCGCGGGCGGGGACGCGGGCCTCGCCGCCCGCCGGGATCCCCTTTGTTGTGGGGCGGCCGGTGGGTGTGGGAGGGGGATCTGCGCGCTAGGGGTCCGGGGCCGGAGTGGAGCCAGCTGCGGGCGGCGGGTGTAGGAGGGGGACTGCTGCACACCCCGATAGGGAGTCCGGGAGTTCGGAGTGGAGCCGACCGCGGGCGACGGGGAGCGGGTGTGGGAACTGATCTACACGCCCCGCGCCCGGATAAGGGAGTCCGGGAGCCGGAGTAGAACCGACCGCGGGCGGCGGAAAGCGGGTGTAGGTTGGGGTTTTCGCGCCCCGCAAAGGTGGCCTGGGGGCCGGAGTGAAACCGACCGCAGGCGGAGGGGAGGAGGTGTGAGAAGGGGTCTACGCGCCCGGCGTCCGGCCGTGAAGTCCGGAGTGGGTCCGGCTGCGGGCTGTGCGCTCGCCGTGGAGGGGCGAGGCGAGGCGGGCGCGGGGCATCCAAGACGGGAATGCGGGCGCGGGGGCCTCGGGTGAAGGGCCCGGGTCGGGGGGTTCAGGCGCGGGAGCGCTGGGCATTGGGGTTTCGGAGGCAAGGAATCCAGTAGCGGGGGCTTCGGGCACGGGCGTCCGGGTCGGCCGGTTGTTGAACGCGCCTTCCTCCCACCTGTCCGGCAGGTGCGGCCGCTTGAACCATGGTGATCATGTCGGAGTTCAGCGCGGCGGCCGCGGGCTCAGGCCAGGGCCAGCAGAAGCCCCTCCGGGTGGGCTTTTACGACATCGAGCGAACCCTGGGCAAAGGCAATTTCGCGGTAGTGAAGCTGGCCCGGCACCGAGTCACCAAAACCCAGGTGCGTGCGTGGCGGCACCCGAACCAGACCTGGGGCGCCCCAGAAGGGATGGGCCAGGACGGCAACGGGGAGAAGGGATCTGACCTGCCCGGGGGGTCTGCGGGGTTCATTACGTGCCTGTGCGTGCCTGCGCGGTTGATTGCGTTAATGTCCAAACGCTGGCATTTTTTAGTTTGGTAAAGAAAAAAAAAAATCCTTTATGTTTCTGCATAATATGTACAAATATTAAGAGGATGGCGAAAAGCTATTGAACAAAAAACCAGGAGTCCAATGTCCAGGGATTCAGATCTGATCGCTGGAAATTGACCCTGCAAACACTTCAGGTGTTTATTTAACTTTATTTTAGTAATGTCACTGGTTACATTGATTATTTTTCCCCAGCTTTTTTGTGACTGTATGGGTAAAATAGTTTAGAAATTTACCTACCAGAAAGTGAAATGTGTAAATTAGGCTACGGGAGGGTTTTTTTTTAAACAAAACATTTGTTTTCTTTTTAAAATCTGTAGGTTGCAATAAAAATAATCGATAAAACAAGATTAGATCCAAGCAATTTGGAGAAAATATATCGAGAGGTTCAGATTATGAAGCTTTTGAACCATCCTCATATCATAAAACTTTATCAGGTAAGGGCTCCAGTTTGCCTTTCACTGTTAATTCTGGAAGTGAATTATTTTTTATTTTCGACAAAATAGTCTGCAGTTGCTAAAGGTTACGCTTTTTTTGGGGGGGGGGCGTGTGTGTGTGTGGGGAGAATCCAGGAGTTGGTCGTTTAAGCTGAATAAATTGATTTTTGCCAAGTGCGCTCATATATTTACAATTATTTTCCTGCTTTTGGATCATAATTGAGATTTGCATCATTAAAATTTTATCTAGTATTGCAGTTCCAGTTTTAAATGCATAAGTTTGGTTGTTATGTTTACTTTATTATGAAAATAAACAGCCAGTCTGTACTAGTGTCGCAGTCGGGCATTTAGTAAAGAAGGACACATTTGAGTGGAACTAGAAACTTCTCCATTTGCAGATAATTATTAAATTTTAAACCGGCCGCCCTTCAGAGTTTTCGTTACCTTAAACCTTTGCATGAGCAGCAGTGAGCATTTGTCTTCCTTATTTCAACTCTTCTGTCAGAAATGGAGAGTTGAAAGTATTTTTGCAACGTTAGGAGCAAGGAATTTGTAATTTAATCCAAGTGAGGAACGTGCCTCACACTACCCATCTGTTAGTATGTTTTGTGACTTTATTTTTGACCGTTGTTGCAACTAATGAATTGTCTTTGAGATATAAGTACTGGTTTAATTAGGACAACAAAGTAATTCCCCCCCCCCCCAATAAATGACCACTTTTCAAAGATGGAATGAAGTCTACTTGCAGAAGAATAAATTTTTTGCAGATATTCAACATGTCATCCATTTGTGCTGTGTATAAATTCCATTCAGTGGTTCTCATGAAGCCATGTGGATCTGAGATGAACATGGGATGGTCATGTATGTTTGTGTTCCAGACTGGCAAGGGTAGGTGAAAATTGTGGTTGATGTTGTTAGAGTCAGGTTGATTCCGACTCATGGCAACCCCATGTGCGCAGAGTAGAACCGTGCTCCTTAGGGTTTTCAAGGCTGTGACCTTTCAGAAGCAGATCGTCAGGCCTTTCTGGGTGAATTCGAACTGCCAACCTTTTGGCTAGTAGTTGAGCACTGAACTCTTTGCGCCACCCAGGGTCTCCTTGAAAAGCGCGATAGGAGAGAGAATTAATTATAGTTTAAATGTACTCCACAGAAGGTTCTACTTCACTGAAACAGAGGTAGAAGCAGGATTATTGGCTTGTATTTCCACTGACGAGACAGTTTCTTCGGGGTCACGTGCATGTGGGGGCTTGTTTTTTTTTTTTTCTGTTGCCATTTTGAAGTTGAACCACCGAGATAAGAAGTTTCTTCCATGGTGTGGCCGAACTGTTTCTGGTTTGACTTTGGTGAAGGGCCAGACCTTAACGTACCTTCCTTTTGTTTTCTTCCTCCTCCTCCCCTCTGCCCATGCTTGTCGAATTAGATCGATTAATCAACAAATTACACGAATGATCGACCTCAGGGGTCTTTTCTGCAGGTGAATTTTCTTCTTCTCGTATGGGGTTCTTGACTGTTTGGAGACTCTAGAATTCAGGAATGTAGCAGGGATTTTTATGACTCTGGTTTTGACACTCCTGCATAATTTTCAGCCAGCTGGCACAGGCCCCAGAACCCTGCAGAGGCACTTTGCGCTTCCCTTCAGGTTTTTGAAACCTTAAAATGTTTGTACTCTTAATTCTTCCTTCTTCTACGGCGCAACGGCTTCTTCTTTAATGGTGAAAGAGGATCTGCAGCGACGTTCTTACAAGTCATTCTCCCACACACAGATAGGAGCAGGTCTGCTAAAAATTCAGCCAACCTGCACGCCGCTCACTTTTCTTGTTCGATTTATGGCTCGCCATAGTTGTCTTTAAAAGCTCTTTTTAAAAAAATAGCTATAATTTCAACCCAAAGAAATCTTTTTCTGTAAGAATGTGTTACCTCTCTTTCACTCCCTCTGAAATAAAAATAAATATATATATGTATATAGATACGTGAGTTTGGTTTACTTCTTTCAGCGCCCAAAATTTGAATTTTATCTCGTTTCTTCATTCGTTACCAGTTTAAAACTCTTTTAAAAATGGTTTCCAAGTAATATAAAATTCTTGGTCAAGAAACGAACCTGAAGTTGTATGTTGACATTGGCTGTTGCTGCTGATACATGTGGAGGAATTTGCTGGACAAAGGGCAGCCTATTGTATCTTACCTGCAAAGCTGTTGTCTTTTTCAGCCTCATTTATCATGTCAATAAAGCAAGTGGGGACGGGGTAGTTGTTATCTGTTATTCATTTTGTTCTGGCCGTGAATATCAGCTTGAATAATCCGTGACCTGCTCGCCAGGCTTCTAACAGAAAGTCCTAGCAAAAGGTAGCAGTCTCTTAGTTCTGTAGGCTTTGGTGTCCACGAAAGGAGTGTAAGGCAACGTGCATTAATACGGTGACTTAAAAGTGTTCTAATATATTGGCTCTTTTTTAAGAACTACGATAGATCAAGGTAGGCAAGCTAATAAGGAGTTCACGTCTGATTTGTTATTTTTTTTAAAACCTCTTTTCAAATAAACCAAAAACCAAACCAGTTGCTGTCAACTCAGCTGTGACTCACGGCAACTCCGTGTGTGTCAGGGTAGAACTGTGCTCCACAGGATTTTTCAAGGGCTGATTTTTCGGAGGTAGATTGCCAGGCCTTTCTTCCAAGGTGCCCCTGGGTGAACTTGAACCTCCAACCTTCCGGTTGGCAGCCGAGCATGTTACCTGTTTGCACCACCTAGGCACTTTTCTTTCTGAATAGAAATACCTTTATTTGTGTCTTTATTGCAGAAGTTTTTCTTCCCCCCCCTTTTTAAAAAAATTTTTTTTATTGTGCTTTAGATGAAGGTGTACAGAGTAAATTAGTTTCTCATTAAACAATTAATACACATATTGTGTCGCCAACCCTGAAACGTGTTTTCTTTCCTTTTTTAAATGACGAATGCACGCATCTGAGAGAAGTTAAACACTTGCTGGGTTTTCAGTGGGTTATTTATCCGATAGGTCTGTTCCCTTTTTGTGGTTAAATATTAGGTCTTTATTTTTTTAGGTTATGGAAACCAAGGACATGCTTTATATTGTCACCGAGTTTGCAAAAAATGGAGAGATGTTTGGTAAGTCACACTTAATTGAAATAAACGGCATGAACGCGTGCGGATTGCCTGTCTGGGGTTTGGGTCCACGTGCTGTAAACTTCCACAGCTTTGTGTAGTTGTTCCCATGAGGGCTGGCAGACCTCTGGATTTGGGGACATGGCTTTGTCTCGTCCCTCTTCCCCAGATTATCTGACCTCCAATGGGCACCTGAGTGAGGAGGAAGCACGGAAGAAGTTCTGGCAGATCCTGTCGGCCGTGGAGTACTGCCACAGCCACCACATTGTCCACCGGGACCTCAAGACCGAGAACCTGCTGCTGGACAACAACATGGACATCAAGCTGGCAGGCAAGGATGCCCATGGGTGCCTGGCGTCGGGAGAGCGCCCCGGGGCATGCTGCGGATGGCTCTGGAACTTCAGCCTCCCTTGTTCCCGCTTCATCTAATCGGCCTCTTTCCCTCTCAGATTTTGGATTCGGGAACTTCTACAAGTCAGGAGAGGCCTTGTCCACGTGGTGTGGGAGCCCCCCGTATGCCGCCCCGGAGGTCTTTGAAGGGAAGGAGTACGAAGGTCCCCAGCTCGACATCTGGGTAAGGGGCCTGCGTGGTGCTGTGCTGTGGTGGGTGCCCTGGGGTGGCCATTGACAGCTCACCGTGCCCCTTGGTGCCCGCTGACCGCTCACCGTTCCCCTTGCTGTCCGCTGACCGCTCACTGTGCCCCGTGGTGTCCACAGAGCCTCGGGGTTGTGCTGTACGTACTGGTCTGCGGCTCACTGCCCTTCGACGGGCCCAACCTGCCCACCCTGCGGCAGCGCGTACTGGAGGGCCGCTTCCGCATCCCCTTCTTCATGTCCCAAGGTAGGTGGGCGGCCGGCCTGCTCCCCACGTGGGCCAGGCTAACCCGGAGCCTTGTCTGGGAGGAGGGGAGGAATGAATTTCCTGAAACGCCTGCCCTGCTGTCCTCCCGTGCATAGCGGAGGCTGTGAATGAGCCCGTGTTACTGTGGGGCGTGGTCGCGATGCCCACGGAGAAACCCAACCCCACAGGGCTCTCCGTGCCCTACTTCTAGGGTGCAGTGCCCTCCTCTGTGGCCGAGTCTCCTTGTGAGCCAGCTGGCTGCACACCTGGGGTCCCCTCTCAGGCCAACACCTCGGGCTCTGCCCCCCCCGTTAGTTTTACCCACTGGCCAGTTTCAAACACATCATTTTTCCTTGAAGATTTGTTGCGTAAAGAGTCTTGGCCTATTGTTACTAAATCGTATGGTCACAGAGCAGGGTGGGCAGGCTCAGAGGCTCTCTGGCTGGTGGACATTGGAAGGATCAAGGCCGTGTCCTTCCAGGGGCCGGATCGCTCAGGCGGTGGCTTCCCCAAGTGGGGCATCTGAGCTCTTGGCCTGGGCGCTCAACCTTGACGACTCTAGTTTGCCCGTTTCCCTGTGGGCAGGGGGAGTGGGTGCCTTGCAGGGCTGTGAGGGTCCGCAGGTGGTGGGCTGGCCCGCAGCAGGGCTCAGCGCACCCCCTCTGCCGTCTGCAGACTGCGAGTCCCTGATCCGCCGCATGCTGGTGGTGGACCCTGCCAAGCGCATCACCATCGCCCAGATCAAGCAGCACCGGTGGATGCAGGCGGAGGCCGCGCTGCCGCAGCCCCCCTCCCTGGCCTTTGCCGCGCACAACTACAACTCCAACCTGGGCGACTACAACGAGCAGGTGCTGGGCATCATGCAGATGCTGGGCGTTGACCGGCGGAGGACCGTGGAGGTGAGCTGGGCGCCTCACCTGCTGCAGGTGTAGGCGGTCGGTCGGGGGGCACAGCGCCGCTGGGAGAACTGGCACGCGCCCTCTAGGGCAGAGTGGGGGCGTGGCTGATGGAAGGGCTGGCTTATCTTCTGCTCCGGCGGTCCCTCAGCCACCAAGAACAGCCCTGGGGACGGCGGCAGCTCAGGGATCAATGCAGACGCATCCAAGGCGCTGCTGCTTCCGGAGCTGCGAGCCAGGACTTTGTTCTCCTCCGCGCCTTCGCACTAAACTAACGTCCGTGTGTCTGTCTGGCAGTCACTGCAGAATAGCAGCTACAACCACTTCGCGGCCATCTATTACCTCCTCCTGGAGCGCCTGAAGGAGTACCGGAGCTCCCAGCCGCCAGCCCGCCCAGGGCCCACCCGGCAGCCCAGGCCCAGGAGCTCCGATCTCAGCGGTTTGGAGGTAAGGACAGGAAACCCCCCTCCCCCGTGCCTGTTCCTGCCCTCTGCCTGGGGATGCCCCCTGCCCCCCAGAGTTATGAGCCCCTTGCTCAGATGCGCCTGCCTCTTTCATCCCCCAGGTGCCCCAGGAGGGCCTCACTGGTGACCCCCTCTGCTCGCCCCTGCTATGCCCGCAGCCCCAGACCCTGGCACAGTCCGTCCTGCAGGTTGAGATGGACTGTGACCTCAGCACCTCACTGCAGGTGAGCTCTGCGGTGAGGTGGTTCCTGAGGGTTCTGTGCGTACCCTGTGAGCTAGTGGTGGTGACACCCCCCTCCAACATATCCCAAACTTGTTTGTTTTGGTCTGCCATAGCCCTTGTTCTTCCCGGTGGATGCCAACTGTGACGGAATGTTCCGGTACCGCTCCGTCTCCCCCAGCAGCGTGCTTGACACAGCCATCAGCGAGGAGGCCAGGCACGGCCAGGGCCTGGAGGAGGAGCTGAAGGCGCAGAAGCCCCTACCGAGCAGCACGGGCCGACGGCACACGCTGGCCGAGGTCACCGCCCACTTCTCCCCACACACCCCTCCATGTGAGTGTCCCGTGGGGACAGCTGGTCGACAGGGCAGGGCTTGTGGCCAGCACCGTTTTCCACCGAAGGTTTTCGGGGTCTGCCATGATCAGACTTTAGGGTACTCAGTGTGGCCGTTTGAGTGGAGAAGGGACCGTGGGGCTTAGTCTGTACTGGTGGCCGCCCTGGGATGCTCTGGTGGGTGGCGGGGTGGGTCCTTGGCCTGCACAGATCCCCTGTTGCCTGCAGCTCCGTGGTAGCTAGTCCTCGAGGCTCCCTGGGCCTCCGTGGCCTCTGGCCATTGGCAGGCGCCCTTTCCCTCCAGGTGTGGGGTTGAGGTGGGGAGGAGGCCTCTCCCGCTGCCTCGCCCGCTGCCTCGCCGAGCTCGGGCTATCAGAGCAGGGCCTGTAGATCCCCTCGTGGTTGGTGCGGCCCCCCTAAAGGTGCTGTGTTTTCCTCCAGGCATTGTCATTTCGTCCTTCTGTGCCACAGCAGCCGGCCCATCCGAAGGAACCAGCTCTGACAGCTGCTTGACTTTCTCGGCAAGCGACGGCCCCGCGGGGCTCAGCAGCGTGGCCGCCCAGGGGCTGGGGGGCACCTGCTCGCCTGTCCACGTGGCTGCGCCGTGCCTGGGGGCCCAGTCCGCCACCCCAGTCCTGCAGGCACAGGGGACCCTGGGCTGCACTGTCCCGCTCCCTGTCAGCTTCCAGGAAGGACGGAGGGCCTCGGACACCTCGCTTACCCAAGGTGACTGCTCCCCTCCCACCAGCCGCCCCCTTTCCAAGACACCTCATTTCCCTGAAGGGCGTCACTCTGTCCCTGGTGGCAGATGGCGTTTCCCGCTCTCTAGCCGGCTTAGAGAAGTCCTTCGGTGGTGCGAACACTTAACACGCTGGGCTGCTGACCGAGAGGCTGAGGGTTGGAGTCCAGCCCGAGGTGCTTTGGAAGAAAGGCGTAGTGATCTCCATCTAAGAAATCGGCCACTGAAAACCCTGCAGAGCACAGTTCTACTGTGACGCACACGGGGTCGCCATGAGTTGGAGTTGACTCAGCGGCAGCTGATTTGGTTTTTATCCAGCTTGGGCGGGGCCCGTGGCAGTGCAGGCTCGTCGTGGCCTTCATGCACGAGCTCAGACCTTGGGGCCTTGGGCGGGCATCTCTGTCAGCTGGTCCTGACAGCTCAAGAGATGCTTTGGGGCTGGGCGCAGCTCCCGACTTGGATGATGGGGGCGTTGGGGAGGGACCCCCCAGTGAACACAGCCCCACCTGGTCGACCGTGTGCGGGGTTTGGCGTGCCCGTGCGCCCTCCAGAAGAACTGCAGCGCGCCCAGACATGTCTGTGTAGGAATGCCGTCTGACCCTCATCCCCGGGAGGGGGTGGCAGTTGTGACAAATCTGGTGACTGAGAGTGCTCCTTAACCCTTTAGGAACAACGACAGTCGTATTGTCCAGTCACATTGGCACCATCCATCCTTTCTGACCTCCTCCCTGGGCTGTGGAGCACTTCATGAGCCAGGGGCTTTCGCCTGTGCTTGGAGACAGTGGTCTGTAGACACCTTGATCTTGTCTCTCCCCAGGGCTGAAGGCTTTTCGACAGCAGCTGAGGAAGAACGCCAGGACCAAAGGGTTTCTGGGGCTGAACAAGATCAAGGGGCTGGCCCGCCAGGTGTGTCAGGCCTCCTCCTCCAGCCGGGCCCCGCGGGGTGGCCTGAGCCCCTTCCCGCTCCCTGCACAGAGCGCTGGCCCATACGGCAGCGGGGGCAGTGGCCGGGAGAGCCGGAACCTTCTGGAAGAGGTGCTCCACCAGCAGAGGTATGAGGCCCCAGGCTGCCCTTACTGCCCCGGTCACCCCTGCGTTGACGTGACTTGCACGTATCGGGAGCTTTTCTCTTAAATAACCTGATTTCTTCAGCTCTCCGTTTCTCTGTGTCATCAGGCACGCACACCTGCCAGCCCCCATGTTTGGGGAGACTTGTTAGGCTCAGAGCCCCACTCGCCCTGCCTGGTGTAGGAGGGGGCGGGCCACGTCAGGCTCTGTCACTCTGAAGGCCCTACGTGGGGACTGAGGGTGGCACTGAATAAAAATGTCACGTATGGCTGGCATCTCCGCGTTGCTATAAAAGCAAGATGGAGAATGGAAATGTCAGAAATTGCTCAGGGGATTAGTCACGCACAGCATTGCGTGTTCTGATCGGCTCCAGCCGGCAGTTCCACAGGGAGGGTTCTTACTCACGGCCAGCGCGGAAACCTGATCGTGTCTGCGAGCCGAGCCGACGCAGAGCTGGCTGGTCGGGGAGGCGCGGGCTGAGCAGGCAGTCACCTGCCTCTCCTCCTCTTCTCCAGGCTGCTCCAGTTACAGCACCACCCGGCGGCCCAGCCCGGCTGCCCACAGGCGCCCCCGCTGCCCCAGGCTCCCTATGTCCTCGCCCCGTGTGACAGCTCTGGCGTCCCTCCACTCTCCAGCACTCTCCTGGTGTCGGGACTTCAGAAGGAGCTGGTGCTGGGGCCTGGCCCGCTCCTGCCACCCCATCTCTTCCGGGCTGCTGCCTCCCCCACGGCCTCAGCGGCCCAGCTTCTGGACGCCCACCTGCACATCAGCTCCACCGCAACACCCCTGGCCCCCGCCGTGACCCCACAGCCCCGCTTCGCTGTGCTGCCCCCCGGATTCGAGCCCGCTGGGCTGGTGCAGGGAGACTGCGAGATGGAGGATCTGACCGCGGGCCAGCTGGGCACCTTCGTGCTCGTGCAGTGAGGGCGCACACCCAGCTCCCGCTGGCACCCGCCGCCACCGACTCTTCGAAGCAATAATTTCAGAGTATGTGAAGACGTTTTCAGACTCAAAGCCAATAACTTTCTGGAAGCGAAACAAGCAATACGTTAGGTGTTTGGGCTTTTTCGTTGATTTTTCATCTGCTTTCCTTTTTTCTTGCACTGAACAATTTTGAGTATGAGTAGGGACTGGAAACTTCCAGAAGAAAAATAATAACCGAGGGGGTGTGTTGTTGGGGTGGGTGGACGGGCAGGGCGGGGAAAGAGGGAAGGCTGGGATGGAGGGAGGACGGGGCTCTGCTGGTCCGGCCCTTGCCTACCGTGAGTGGGGGCGACTTTGGAGATGGCAGTGTGGGGCTGAAACAGGGGCGCCGTTGAGCACGGGCTCATGGAAGGGTGTGGGGTGGTTACCTCTGAGGAGATGGTGGCATGAACCATGCGTCCATGGGACAGAAGTGGGCGTCGCTGGGCATGTGTGCACGTGGGCGCACGTTGGTTGTATCTTTTTTTTTTAGGTAGGTCACAATCCTACATTTCCTGAAACATTTATGCTTTAAATGAAAACTGTGAACTTTCTGCTTCATCTGTCAGTTTTTGAAAAGCTCAAATAGCCCAGGAGAGGATGATTGACAAACTCTTGGAATTCTCTCCCCTGAAGTCAGAACCCCAGAGTATAGTTATTTTTTTAATTGTCTTTGGTGAGAAGTTTATAACCTGCTCACGGATTGGTTTTCCAGGAGTTGTCCGAGGAGCCACCGGAAGGAGCGGTGGGGCTGGGGGCTCCGCTCTCGCGGTCACTTGGCCGGAAACCCCTGCGCCTTCAAGGAGTCGGAGGGGCATTCTCTTCATGCTGCAGATTTTATTTCCGCTGCTAATTACGCTTTTATGCATTTCATTATCAGGGTCCAAAACGAACAACCGACTCTGGGGGGAGCGTGCAATATCGCGAGGCTACGATTGTACAGACCGAGACGGGAGAATTGGGGTGACAGACCCCACCCCTCTGGGCCAGGACCTGATGGGTCCTGAGCGTTTGGCTTTTGTTCAAGGAAAATGAGATGTCCAGGTCAGCGTTTTTAAAGCCTTTTTCGTTTTTTTTTAAAACACTGTATATGTATATAAATAGGATACAAATACACACTACTTATTTTTTATATTTTTTACTACACTTTTGTGTTTCTGGTTTCAATTTCCCCCTCTGGTAGTGTTCAGATACGTTCTCGTGAGCACCTGTTCCGTGTTCAGGGGGGCCGCGGGGTGCCTTCCCCTCAGAGCACCGGGGGGCAGAGGCGGCAGCGTACCTAGGTAAACTCACAGAGGGGCTCCGTCAGTCCAAAAGCCTCTTTGGAATTCAGAAGGAAAAGTGTTCTGTGTGGCCAGGTCCCCTCCCTTTGCCTCATCCAGGTGCCTTCAGATTCCTTTGGCTTCTTACAACCTGCAGTATTAAACAGAGCTCACTAGGGAAGGGAGAAGAAAGGCAGCAGTTTTGAAAAGCCAAAGACTGACCGAGTTACTGAGGGTCACGAGGACGGATGAGTGGCCGCTGACACCAGTGGTGCCGTGACCCTGGCTGACTCAGATCTGCACGCCTGTGTCTCTCCTATCGGCCAAGTTTGCTGCTACTGTTAACCGCGGCTGCTGTGTGGCTGCGTCAAAGGTTCAGGGCCAAGGACCAGCCCTTGTGGATGGCCCTGGTGCCCGGCCACAGAGAAAACACCAAAGTCTCCCACTAACTTACAAAGACGTTCCCAGAACTGGAGAGAGACCCTCCACCCTCCTGGGCAGCCCGGCCCCATGCCTTCCTTCTTTCAGAGGTAGCACAACTGATTCCAACACAGAACATTGTTCTCCTTTTTTAAAAATAATTTCTCTTCCCGTGCCGGAGATCAAAGGCCTCAGAAACCGTTGTGTGTTTCCTCTTTCAAGCAACAACAAGCACTTTACTTTCATAGTATTTTTGTTTTGTTTTGTTTCTTATTGCTGTAGAACCTCTTGGAGGACAGGAGCGCCGTGTTTTCGTTTCTTGGTTTTTTTTTTTTTCAAGTGTGCTGTGTGTTTTGTAGACTCCCTGACAGCACTGCCCTACAGACCACAATCTCAATAGCCTGTTGAAAGACACTGCGTGATCTAAGATGTACATAGTTCTGTGTTTTGTGGGTTTTTTTTTTTTTTTTACCATACCTGAAACCTTTTTTTTTTTTCCCTTATGTTAAAATGAGAAATGTATGCCAAATGATTAGTCGATGTGTGTTTTTTAATTTAATATTTAAATAAAATGTTTGGGGGACAAACCTGGACTCTTGTCCCCGGTTCGTCTGTCTGTTTCCTTCTGAGCTGCTGCACTCAGAGGCTGTGTCCTCCAGGGTCATTGAATTTTCGGATTTTAACAGAGCATACTGGGAACTCCTGCATTCAGCCCCACCGCAAAGCACGAAGGGAGGGCCTTCTCCAGGCAGCTGCAGAGTCCCTAACGAGCCTTAGCCTCTGTGGTCTGGGGACGGGGCGGAGCGTGGTCAGCTGCCCTCCCCCAGGCGCCTCCCGCTGCTAACTGGCTGGAAGTTTCAATACGAGGGTCAGTTTTCAGCTGCTTCTTCCCTGCCCCGGGCCCTGGCTGCATTCACTGTTCTCACCCCTTCTCTCGTAATGTTCTCTGGGACTGCTTCAAAAACAAGGTTTTGTAAGAATCTCCCAAACAAACAATTCCCTGATGTATAAAACATCGTGGTTCAGTGGTAGAATTCTTGCCTTCCATGCAGGAGACCCAGGTTCAATTCCCAGCCAATGCACCTCACGCACAGCTGCCACCCATCTGACAGTGGAGGCTTGCGTGTTACTATGATGCCATACAGGTTTCAGTGGAGCTTCCAGACTAAGGCAGACTAGGAAGAAAGGCCTGGTGATCTACTTCCAAAAACCAGTCAATGAAAACCCTATAGATCAGAATGTTCTGATCCCATTGTGCATGGGGTCCCCATGAGTCTGAGGCTGACTCAAAGACAGCTAATAACAATGGCAATAGGGCAGTAGCCTCTGGGTGATGCAAACTGTTAACATGTTCAGCTGCTAACTGAAAGGTTGGCGATTCGAGTCCACCCAGAAGCGTCTTGGAAGAAAGTTCTAAAGATCTACTTCCAAAAGATCACAGCCATTGAAAAGGCTATAGAGCACAGGTTTACTCTGACACACATGGGGTCACCATGAGTTGGAGTCAACTCAATGGGAATTGGTAGTGGTAGCAATATGGCGGCCGTGTCTGCTTATAAAAACAAAGGGTTATGTTTATTTTGACACGTGGCACATATTTTTATTTAAAAAAGTTTCTTTTGAGAGGCGCAGTGCCAAATGAGTGGGCAATAGCTCCTGTGCAGAGAACCGGGGTTCTCGGAGGGGGGACCCTGTGCCAAGCATGTGTCTGGGCAAGAAGACAAAGGGTGGATGACCAGGGCAGTTGTATTCTACTAAGATGGAGTGTGTTTCCACTGTGCAGCAAGCAGCGCTGGAATGATGGAGCCTTGACAAGCTTCTAACCCTTCCAGCAGCCTGTTGTGAGATCCTCAGATGGAGATGGACGAGATCTAAGTGGTCGGCATGGATCCCCAAGGTTGTCGGAGGAGCCTCCTATGACATCCTAAGCAAACAGCTGCTATTCTGAGTAGGCTCAGCAGATATTGCTGCTGGCTTAAGAAGAAAGTTAAACATTTTAAATTGCCAGCTGTCCTTAATATTGACTCCCCGAGCTGTGAGGCCATCTTTTGACAGGAAGGCCAAATCAGAACACGCAACTCCAAGGAAGCTCAACAAACCTCACGTGGAAGCACCTGCTCAGTCCTTGACTGTGCCCTGGAGCCCCTTGCCAGCAGAATCCAGCTGGGCTGACAGGGTGAGCTCTGGGTGCTCTCAGAAGCCTTGGTTTAGTATCACTGCTCAAGGAAACGGGGCCAAACTCTTGGCATTGAATTTGAGCTTTGTAGCATTTGCTGTACCAGAAGACTGCAGGGTTGATGTGCTAACAGAAAATATGTTTCTTGTTTGGGGGTGTGGGGCAGCAGTAGAATTCTCACCTTCCATGTGGGAGATCTGGGTTTGATTCCTGGCCAATGCACCTCATGTACAGCTACCACCCATCTGCCGGGACTAGGAAGAAAGACCAAGCAAACTACTTCTGAAAAATCAGCTGATGAAAACCCTATGGATCGCAATGGTCTGGTCCACAACCAGTCGTAGGAATGGCACAGGACCAGGCAGCAATTTGTTCCATTGTGCATGGGGTCACCATCATTTGGGGGCCAATTCAACAGCAGCTGACATCAACAACATTGGGGGTGCGAAGTCCTGTAAACTAGTAAGATCGTAAGCAGCATCTCATGTCTGAACTTCTCGATATATTTGGCTTTCATTTTTGTGCCATGTTAATGACTTGATGTGCATATATGTTGACTCCCCAGCTAAACGGGCAGCAATTTGGGGATTGATCGCATCTCAGCGTGCTCCAGCAGCGCCAGCATATGCTCAGCACATGGTGGCTCTTCCGCCCATCCTTGTTGGTTTGCAATTCCCATTTTCATGTACTTGATGGTTCTTCTAGAACTAGCAATGTGCCATCATCATCATCATCATCATTAAACAGTGCTTCTTACAATTCTCAGCTTACTAGTTAGAGGGCCCACTCAGGGAGCCTCACGGAAACCCTGTGAGAGACTCTTTAGAACTCTGTTCTCGGCTTTATTGATCTGCTAATTCCTGGGATGCCAAGGGGCCCAGGGTGGCTGCGGGATTTGGAGGTCCACAGAATCCCTCATGACACCACCACCCAGGACCTTACTTCACCAGCATGTCTGTACAGGAATGGCCGTGCCTACTCAGGGTGTTTTGCAGGGGGTCTGTCTTGTATGTTATTTGTTCACTCCTGTTGGGACTGGTAAGGCTGACCCAGGTTCTGGCCCATCTCCCCCACGGGAATACCCATCACTGAGTGATGGTGCCCTGGGGGTTCTGAGCGCCTGCTGGTGAGAGTCCAGGCTAGGCATAGCCCCAAGTAGCAAGCACCACAGACCAAACAGCTAATACAAGACAGAGCGGTGCCTGCTGGGGCCGATGCACAGGGTAGCACAGTGGCTGAAGAGCACGACACTGGCGTCCCACAGGCCTGGTCTGCATCCTGGCTTTGTGACTTTCCAGCTGTGTGACCTGGGACGCATCACTTGACCTCCTGTGCATTAGCGTCCCTGTTTTCCAGATGGTGCCGATTATAGCGGTGCCCCTTCATTGGGGTGTGTGAGGGCTTGATAGCCCATGAAGCACCTAGCACCATGCCTGGCACATAGAGAGTGCTCGGTAAATGCAGGACTAGCCCTGCAACCTCAACCTCAGCAAGAATGGGGCAGGATGTCCATGTGGAAAGAAGCATCATCGGTTGACCAGATGGCTCAGGGTTGGGCCGCTTGTCTTAATGCTGGTGTGGAAAATGTTAACTCCTTTTGCAGGTCAGAGACACCTATGTGTTTATCTGTCATCAGAATCTGCGGCACTCTCTTTGCTAGTCCATAAACTAAAACCAAACTCATTGCCATCAAGTCAATCCCAATTCATAGCGACCCCATAGGACAGAGAAGAACTGCCTCATAGGGTTTCCAAGGAGCAGCTGGTGGATTTGAACTGCTGACCTTTTGGTTCACAGCCAAGCTCTTAACCACTGCACCACGAGGGCTCCTTGCTAAGCCATAGAGTAGACTATATTAGTGATTGTCCCGCTTTGAGGAAGGATGCTTTCTGGGGTTCAGAAATATAGTCACCTGGGAGAGGGACTGGCTTCTTGTGTGGGTGTGTGTGGAGGGTGCCCCAGCCTGGAATGGAGATCACTGGGGACAACATTGTTAGGGACATTGCTAGGTGGACACTTTTTTTTTCTGCACTTGCTCATTTCACTTGAGGACAGGAAATGATTCTGACTTAAGGGAAACTGACTTGTTTGGAGGTAGAAGAAGAGTGTTGGCCTATTCATTTTTCTTCGAGAATAATACCAGGATATTTCAGATGAGCCAAGTGGTTAGCAGCGGGGTGTGTATGGCCATCTTACAGCATGACCTGTGATCTTGGGGGAGGTGCAAGGCGGCTGGTGGGACCAAGCCGTTGAGGTCTGGGTCCTGAAATGGGTATGGGGGGTGTTTTTTTAAGGGTCTACCTAAAGGTATTCAAGGCCTGGTTCTGTGGGTGCTCCCAATCATGCTAGAGAAGAGAACGGAAACCAGGGGGGGCCTGGGATCTGGGCCCGTGTGTGCAGTTGGGAGGGGCAGTGAGAGAGGAGGGGTAGAGAGAGACAGAGAGAGACAGAGACGGGGAGACAGAGAGAGGCATGGAGATAGGTTTTATCTTTATGTTTTGAGATGGCAGTTGAGGTCTTTTTTTTCTCTATGGATTCCCAGTTGCTACAGCACCATTTATTGCCGTGAGAGAGGACATGTTCAATTCCTCACCTCAGGGGAACTCTCGAGGGCTCCATATGACTCACTGCTCTTTAATTATCATTATTTCACTTATTTGAATGTGATTTCTATAAAACATAGAAAGGATTTAAAAAATACTCGGGAAACCAGGTGGCCAGAATGCCCCCTTCACAGTTTGCCTGGAAAGCTGTGTGGTGGAACGAAGGGCAAGCACTGCAGGTCATCTGGGTTTCCCGAGAGTTTTACAGATTTTACAGGGGTTTTCTGTTAAATCTGAGTGGAAAGTTATGTGTCTTCAATCACCCAGTGTGTCCACTTCCAGCCTGCAAGAGGTTAAGTGAAAAGCCCAAGGCCCTCAGGTTCTGCCTGGTTGTGGTTTGAAGACTATGAGGAGTGACAGAAGACTTAGAGGGATGGGAATCCCCTACTGAAAAAAATGTACCCCTAAAAACATCAGCTTTACTGAGGTCTAAGTTTCATACAGTAAAATGCACCTATCTTAAATACATAGTTCAATGAGCTTTGACAACTTACAGACCACAGTAACCCAACCAGGGAGCCCTGGTGGCACAGTGGTTAAGAGCTTGGCTGCTAACC